TAAAATTCTAAAAGTACACTATTCTGAAGTTTGATTTCATGTAGGCATAAAAGCGGCGTATACTAGAATTTTAGAATTCATGGTAGCGCCGTATAGTACTATTTTTAATTTTCCGACAGCCCTCCGTTAATTTAGTTGTATTGTTCATATATAATAATGGATAAATATAAATGAATCATTTGTATTTAAAAAATAGAGATAAATGGATCATTTATCTTTATTTTATAAAAATAATTTTTTTTTCATTTATTTATGTTTATTTTTTAAATATGAATGATGAATTTATAGTTATTTTCTAATAGTACACTAACTTAACACCCGTACATCGAACACATTGTGCTGAAACCCTTACAAAATATTAAATAAGTTTTGTTAATCATCCTCAGTTTGAGTTTCTTAGCAAATGACTAAAGCTTTGCTGATATTATAATGATAGTTATAAGATGACAGTTTGTAAAACAATCGGTCACTACTATCAATCTCCAATACTATGCAGTGATGTCTTTTTGTTCTAAATCAAAAAATCGATAGAAATAGATTGAACATAGCGAAATGGCGCTCACATGATTTTGTTCTTTTTAGGTAAAGTTGTGAAAAAGAGAAATTCACGTGGATCACCATCAATAGTTTTTCATAAGCATGACGTTGATCGAAAAAATGCAGCAAAATTATTGGAATTAGAGAACAAATTAAAATCACTTAAAATAACAACCTATGAGTATCTACGGACGTTTGAAAATTCCAAACTTGAAAGTAATGCATCAACTGCTGATCAGGACGTTGATGAAAATAGAGAAAATATGGAAATTGGCAGTCAGTCACTTTTCCAGCGCGGACAGGTAATTTACAACGTACAAGTAAAATAAGGGTGAATAGTTTAACGATACGTTACACGGCTCAAGGATCTCATGAACGAAAATAAAATTAATATCAGCTTACTCAAAAGTTAAAAAGTCACTAAAATCTTGACTAAGCGTCGCAATTTCGGTTCTCATCAGTCCTTACTCTGCGTGGTTCTTTAAAGTAATAGAACAACGTACAAATGCTGAATATGGTTTTTTTGTAGAGCAAAAAATTCTGCTGGTACATTCTCATGCGTTCGGTTGACTGATGTATAAAACTAACTTTCTTTTTCCAGCGACGTACAACAAATCGACCGTTGGCAGCACTCACAACTCAAATTGTACGGGTTACTAGTCATTCCAATCGAGCACAGAATGAGGTTACTTTTGGTTTGCGTAGAAACTACTTCATATCTGAAGCTACATTTTATGATTATTCTAGATATCCAGAATGAGTTTTGGTAGTGATTCATTTAGTGATGATCAACAAGATAGCGTTGTGTTAGCATCAGGAATCGTAAGTTTAATCCACAAGGAGAACTCTCCTTCTGTTCTTTCACAAATCTTTATTTTTAGACTTCACCGAATTAGTTGAAAAGGCGGCGCAACTCGCAAACCAATAAAACTTTCGCAGACTACTCTGATTGTTTCTTTTCTTTATTATATACCTTTTGCTTCGTTAAAATTTTCC